CAGGGGAAATGGAGAAGATAAAAAGTGAGAGTAGAATCAAGGTCAAGTTCAACTTTTTGACCAAATCCCAAAGGGAAGAGCAACCCACAAAGAAAACTGAGAAGCAAAGAAGTAGGAAAAAACCATAGTGAATGTGAATTGACTGAGGTCTAGGGAAGAGATGTGTTGAGGCAGAAAAAAGGTAAAAGAGGAAGGTCAGGTAGGTGTAAACAAAACCAAACAGAGGAAGACAGAGTAGAAAACTCTAGATGGGTATGTTGTTGGGCATAGCTTCAGGGGCCTGCAAACCCTCAGGGACAAAGCCGCACCTGAATGCATGGCAGTCAGAGTGAAGTGCTAATGGAGGGACTGGACTGGACTGGGCCAATGATCCTGAAATGTGCAGAATGTCCATAATCTTCTGCATTGGGCAGTGAGGGCTACAAATTATCCGTGGACAAGCAGAATTCTGGGAAACGGATGGAGAGGGGTCCACAGAGTTCAGAGGTTTCATAACTGGAAATAAATGGCCAGAACTACAAGCTCTAGTAGTGGCTACTGAAGACCCTCAAAGACACAGCGTGTGTTTACTTCTCCAAGCTTACTTCTCACCGTGTAACCCCACCTTGCAAAATTCAGAGGTCCAGCCATATGGAGCTGTTTGCAGTTTCCCCAACACGCCATTCTCTTTCACACCTCCTTCTATTTACTCACACAGCTTCCTCTGCATGGAATGTTCTCAAACAAAGCCTCCCTTCCTCCACACACTCCTGTAACCCAGATCATTGCTCACTTCTACCCTTTCTCATTTGCCCAGAGCTTTCCTGGGCAAATTTCAATAAGGATCAAAATTAAGCTCCTCTCCCCAGCCTTTCCTACTTTCCCATCCCACACATGAGATGGGCTATTTCCTTCTTTACACCCTCCACCCCACTATAGACTTCCAACCATTCACGTATTTCACTTATTTCAACACTGTCTTCTTCCAGGGTCTGGAGATAATTTCATTTGCTTTTTCATTCATGGTACCTGACCCATGGTAAATACTTCACTAATTAAATGTTAGTAGATGAATCATCCACACAGCCACCATGTGTTACATACTCTTTATCTTTTTCTGCCGAGGACCTTTGGGGGGTTGTCTGTGGCCAGGCTCCTGGACTCAATCTATTGTAGTGAAGGTAGGCACGATGGCTGTTAGTAGCCATGGTCCATGATACTTTGTCCACACCTAAGGCAGAGTTTCTCAGTGTTTCCAAAGTCCAATGTCACTTCTAAGATTGCCAAGTAAAACACATCCAGTTAAATCTGAGTTTCAAATAAACAATGCCTAATGTTTTAGTATAACTGTGCCTCTTTCAATGTTGAGAGAGAAAGAGACAGAGAGATCCTTTAAAAGTATTCATTGTCTTGCTGGAATTCAAATTTAACTGGATATCCCATATTTCTGTTTGCTAAGTCTGGTAACCTTATTTCCCACTAGAGAAGTGATAACTCATTGCTCACTCATACCTTTCCTCATATGCTTGAAGTACACACCTTTAATGAGGAAGTACCAACCTGAGCCACAATGCTGGAGTTCTTCTAATGCTGGCATCACTAGTACTCAAGAAACTCACCAGGCTGAGTTGGCTGTGCCACCTTGAGGTACTTCCTGAAAGTTGAGCAGATGTTTGAGGTGTGCTGGTGGCCATGCTCTTGGGGGTTCTCCCTTGGCTCTCTTGTACCACCTGTGTTTCCCCAAATTTTCCAAGGAGTCATTTTTTTTCAGTAACTATGTGGCCCCTGTGTGGGAGCCAGTCCAGAAGAAAAGTCTGAAAAACTGCAGCCCCAACCTGTTCAGAGTCATCTCAGCCCCTACCACATTAGAGAGATAGGGATCAGACCAAGTTCATGGCACAGAAGGGTCATGAACCCTTTTCTCCCACAAGGCCCTTGGATCTCCCATAAAGATTCCAGAGATCTGCCCCACCAGTGGCTCTGCCATGGGCTATACATGCCAGGCAGGAACAGCACAGAACACACAAGGCCTTCATCCCACCTCCACTTCCTACTCCCACACCTGAGATTCCATTAGGTGGAGTTTTGCTTTGGGATAGGACTATGCAGAAAGATTGATAAACAGAACATCTCCCCTGCTGACATACAGAGGGAGAGGAAGAAAAGGAGGAGGGAAGAGGAGAAAGTCTGTTATCGGTAAAATTATATAAAATGATCAGGTTTTTCTGTCTTGGCAAACAGATTTGACAGCAGTGGCACAGATTCTTGAGTTCCTAAAATCAGACCTGGAGAAAACTAGGGTGGGGACAGGGTGGCAAGAAAGACAGAATTTTGTGTATTTTAGTATAACACCAAGAGCCTTTCCAGTTTCAACATATTGCTGCCATTCCCCCTGAGAAGGCAAAACCTACCTTTTACTCTGAGGTCACCCACTGGGCCCCCCAGAAGGATTAATTTCCAAAATAAAAGTGCCACTTTTTGAACAAAGTTACTAAACAGAAATGAAGAGCACTCTAGCTGCTGCCTCAGAAATGACAGGTGCTCCTTTCATGGTCTACATTTTATGCCAAATGCATGGAAACCCCACTACCCTGGCTGGGCCTCTCCACATGTTTACCATCTCCTATCTGTCCTCACAGTCCCTTGCTCATCCACCTACTCACCTTGTTACTTGTTCATTTAGGTGAGAAATGATCAAATGAGAGTCCCTGGCTGGGCTCCCCCTGGAGGAGCCCACCCTCAAGGATATTTGCAAACTGCCAGAGACGTGTGTAAGAGACCATTCTAGAGAGGGTCAGTGCATAGCAAAGAAGTAGAGCCAACAGCTAGCTCCCTCCCTGTGGCAGGAAAAGGAACTTTGCTGGATAGGGCAAAATATGACTGAAAAGAAATGCTAGTGAAATCTTTGTATTTCCTATTGCCCTTATTTGTTGTTGCTGTTTTGTATTCATTTGGTGACAACCCTGGGAAGAACAGTTGGGGGGATGAGTTTGATCGTTCTAACCAAAGGGCAGAATACCAGTGAATTCCGTGGATTAAGACAGGCTCCAGAAGGACGGTATTATTATTATTGCCTCATCATCTCAGAAACCAAACAGAAACAGCAAAAGTTTGTTGAATGCCTATTTTGGAAAAAGACTGGGGAATGGAGAGAGGCAGAACAATTGGACACACTGAACATTGTTGAATAGTACAGGGTAGGGGAAAAGGAAAAGGAAGAGTAATAGAGGGGGGTGGACTGATTAAAGTACAATATATTTACAGGTAAAATACCGTGGGAAAAATCCCACTGAACAATGAACAGGCACGAAAACAGGAGTGTAAAATAGGTCATGTTAAGGGGAGGTTAATAGCAGAAGGGGGAGAGTAAATAAGAGGGTAGAGGGTGAATATTCATATTTGAAAAGCAACTCTCTATTTTTTCCAATAATTTCACTATTTATAGTACAAGATTAAGAAAATAAACTTTATTCTTGCTTCCCTGTAGGGATAAAAATTGAGTCTGGTCTGTACTGTGTCTTGGTAGCATAAAGTCCTTTATAAAATTATGGAAATATAGTTGGCAGTTCTGACAGCACGTAATTTAATTTTCACTTGACTTTTATCTTTTCCCTGGTTTTGTCCCCCATGAACCTTGAGCTCTAACTAGCTCTCCACTGCTCTAAAATCATCATTGTTTTCTGGAAGTGAACTTCACAGCTGTGGGCCTTTGTTGACAAATTGTTTCATCTCCTCTGGGTCTTAAATTATTTTCTCTTACTCTGAAGTCAAAATTCACTGAATGTTTCCAGATACTGTATTTAGGGTCATAACTTGATTTAACTTCCAGTCCTCCTCCCGTCCCCAACCCCCATTTGTCCTCCAAAGAACTGATACTCATTCTTATTGTCACATTTTAATCTTTTCCTCTCCTGTGTTGGTAATGTGCAGAATTCAGGATTTGTTTTGTGATGAGGATACTTTTCATGATTTGATTGATTGGTTTTACGTTGAAAAATTTAACAGTGATGCATTTTAAATTCTTTCTTTGGGGTTATTCCTTACTGAAATCTTGCTTCGGATTTACCAAGGAGGTTATTTTTACATTGCTCCAGATAATATATTGTAAATTGGCTCAGAGCTTCCACTTCCTGGTCTTTTTATTGTTGCTAAATCCATTTTTAACTGGGACATGGGCATCCCACACTAATTTTGCTTCAAGAGTTTTCCTTCTGCACTAGGTGTCTTCGTCCTAACAATCTTTTCCATGTTTCTTATTCCTCTATAGCATTAACATGACCCAGTTTAATAACTTAGTGGCTTTTTTTGGCACTCATTATTTCTTCTTTATACCCTGTTAAAGTAATAAGTATACGTTCCATTGCACTTGCCTGAGAGTCTTGAACTGGTCTTGGGTTTCCCGCCATCTGGGTTCTGGCTGGATTGCAGTTTCCCTTTGATGTTGTAATACTTTGTCATTGAACTTGAGTATGGGGCTTATATTTGCTTTTATTTATTTTTTTCTCCAAAGATGCACACATTTTTTCTTGAGCTTATTTTGCTGTTGTGTGCTGTTGTTTTTAATTGCTTCCGACTGGGGGGTGGGGCTGAGGGTGAGATTTGGCTTGAATTTGACTCTTTTTGCTATTACTCACATTTCCTCAGAAGCCCCACATACTCGCTCTCGCTCTCTCTCCTTTTGTCTCTCTCTCTCTCTCTCTCTCTCTCTGTCTCTCTCTCTTTCTCTCTCTCTCCCTTTGACAAACCACTTTTGAAAGGCCATTGATCCCTGGTATAAATGCTGTTAAGAAGAAGATGTTAGGGTAGGGATGCTCAGGAATCCAGTCCTGTACAGTCATGAGCTTGGCCATCTGGAAGTCTCCTCTTGCTCAATGAAATGGAGTAAACATTGTCCATTATGAAATCCACCACGCAGGCTGCCAGGGACGAATGGGATCCCACCCAAAGCCAATCGCTGCTCTGACAGGGAAATTGGCTAGCACTGCCTGAGACTACTCCAGCCTCCCCCGTCCCTGATGTCACAATTCAGAGGCTGCTGCCTGCCTAGGAGGTTGTAGAAAGCTCTGTAGATTCTCTCTGTGTGTCCTACAGGGCTCCTCGGGCCAGATCCCTGACTGATGGCTTTTATGAAAAAATATCTGCTCCCCATTCTGATGCTCTTCCTGGCCTACTACTACTATTCCGAAAATGAGGAGTTCAGACCAGGTAAGTACCAATGTGTCTCATTTTGGAGAAATAGGTTAGAAAATACAGGGGGTGGGGCTAGAGTGTTCCTAAGGACCAAGAAGAGTTCTTGATCCTAAAAGTCGCTGAAAAGAAGAAGCCCTGAAGTAGGACAATATCTCTGTGCCTTCCAAGCTGTCCATAGGCTGTGGGCAAGAGGAGTGTGGAAGGGGTAATCATGCAGCCAAAAGTTTGCCAAAAAAGCTATGTTTTACTTGGCTCCCTTAATGGAAAAGAAATCTCAACTCTTCTACAAAAAAATGAAGGTAATACCCAAATTCACAGGCTCAATAGACGGATTGGTAATTAAGAGACCAAAAAAAAAATAAAAAAAGACAAAAGACTCTAGAGTAGATGACTAAGTAAAAGTGAGGGAAAATCCCTGGAATCTCTAGAAACACATGCCTTTTTTTATTGCTTTTAAATTTTCCTTTCAATTGAGAAAATTAGATGAGTCCAGAAATGTCTGGAACTCCAGCATTTTAACTGAACAATGACCTTTCTGGCCTTGTTCTCATAATCTCTGCACATGGAGGTTTTTAGGAATGACAGCAGGAAGACTTGGTTTTGCACAACCAGACCAAACCCCAACCTGAGATCAAGTTTGTCAATGACTTGAATTGCTCCTTCAGTGATTTACAGTTTGAGACAAATTGATCTTGGCTCAACCAGACCAAACCCCAACCTGAGATCAAGTTTGTCAATGACTTGAATTGCTCCTTCAGTGATTTACAGTTTGAGACAAATTGATCTTGGCTCACAGCCTTCAAAGATAGAGAGTGAAATAAGGGGGAGAAGGAAATGTTGTTGCCAAGTTTGATATGGTCCTCACTTCCTTGTGTGGTTCCCCAGAAATGCTTCAAGGAAAGAAAGTGATTGTCACAGGGGCCAGCAAAGGGATTGGAAGAGAAATGGCTTATCATCTGGCAAAGATGGGAGCCCATCTGGTGGTGACAGCAAGGTCAAAAGAAGGTCTACAGAAGGTGAGGGTTCTTTGCCTATAGACACACGAACCAGTACATGCTCAGCTCTCTCTCTCTCTCCCTCTCTCTCTCTGGCGCGTGCACGCACATGTGTGCTCTTAACTCTACTCTCAAACACAGGTTCAAAGACACACAGGAATATAAAAATATGCATTTAAGCATTCATTCCTACACACACACACACACACACACACACACACACATTTAACCATGGAACCACAGAGACATGTGCTCAGATACTGAAATTCTAATGCCTAGTCACAAATACATATCCTTGTGCCCATGCAGACTCTCAGGCACAGACCCTCTTATCGATTCACAAGCCCAAGGAGGTACTAACACTTACAAACCTAGAATTATCCACATAGAAACCAGCTTCCATGCCCACAATGCATTTGGAAATATCTATTCACAAAACTGATGAATGTAAATCATGGACTTAAAACCCCAGCACAGTGACAATTTATCCATTTAAGCTCCACCAAGTTCCAGAAAGTATTTCAGACAGAGAACAATGATCACGACAGTGTGTTTGGGAACACAAACACACAGACACACACACACACACACACACACACACACACACACACACTACATTTCTTATCTAAGCAGAGCTATGAGCAATCTCTCATTTAAGCCTTCATTATTTCAGAAAGTGCACAGAAAAGTCTACAACCAAGACTGAAGCCATTTCTGCTGTGTCTTTGTAGGTAGTATCCCGCTGCCTGGAACTTGGGGCAGCCTCAGCACACTACATTGCTGGCACGATGGAAGACTTCAGTTTCACAGAGCAATTTGTTGCCAAAGCAGGAAAGCTCATGGGTGAGGCTTCTTCTCTTTCTTCCTCTGGACTTTGCCTTAAGGGTCACCAGAGAGCTTTTGGGAGGGAAAAGGAAGGTATCAGCCCCATATGGTTTCTCTCAACACAGCTGTCTCTTGCAGGGGGACTAGACATGCTCATCCTCAACCACATCACCAACTCTTCTTTGACTCCTTTTCGTGATGATATCCCCCTTGTGCGCAGAAACATGGAAGTCAACTTCCTCAGTTATGTGGCCCTGACTGTAGCTGCCTTGCCCATGCTGAAGCAAAGCAATGGAAGCATTGCTGTCATCTCCTCGATGGCTGGTGAGTGTGACAGGGACCAGTGTGGAAGGTAGGAGCAAAAAAAATATGCCAATATGATTACACTATTCTCTGCAGCAAACACAAATTTTTATCAGTTTCTGTGCAGAGAAGTAGCACAATAATAACTTGAAGTTGAAATGCTCACGGTGATATTAAATAAAAGCTGATTAACAGATATGCACAGGTAGACAGATATACTAAGAAGGGCCTTGGGTATGTGAACTCAGTGGAGGGCATGAATGCTCAGTAAAAGAGAAAAAGTGGTAGTTCAAGGTGCCTACAGGAAGCCTGAGGGTGTGTGATCTACAAATGGAAGATCAAAAGAGGCAGCTAGAATTACTTTCAAAGCACAGAGCTCAAGTAATTTACACAAGGGTGGAGATGCTCCAGCTGCTGGTGAAGATGCCTGAACAGGTCCAACAAACTATACATTTGAAAAAATAAAACTTTATTAAGTTAAAAGAAAAAAAAAGAGGCAGCTAGAGGTACAGCTTGTCCTGGTCTCTCTAAGGGAGAGAACTGGTCACAATGCATAAAAATGGATTAAAAGAAAAAAAAAAAAAGACTGCTTCCTTCATGAGCAAGAACCATAGGTTGGTGAAGTTAGTGGATGCAAAGGGAGAAGTGAGGACTGAAATACTTTAATAACATACAATAAGGGAGTTAGCCAGGACAAAATGAAATGAAGCAACAGTTTTGTGTTTTTTTGTTTTTTTTAAGGATTGGGGCTGGAGATGTGGTTTGGTGGTAGAACACTTGCCTGGCATGCACAAGGGATCAAAAAAAAAAGAAAAAAGATTAACAGACTTCCCTGGACTGGGTGTATTCTTCCAAATCTTGATTGTTATAGTAATAATCCAAGTTAAACAGCAACTAGGTTAGGAGAAAGCATACACAGAGAAATGTACATGAGAGAAATCAATGGGCTCAAGAGAGGTCCCTAAAGAAATGGATGATGGTAGCATCAGAAGTTATAACCATTAAAAAAAGAGTCAGAGTTTCCAGCCTGGGGGATTCCTGGGCCCATTTCCTCATGGATCAAGTTCTACACATTGTTGTTGATGAATCAGAAGGATGACTGGAAAACACCAAGATCAAAGTTAGCCAATGTAAATGTAGTTCCCAGCAATATAAAAACAAATGACCTAGAAGACGATAAACTGTTAAGTGTTGCACAAATATCAGTTCTAATTGAAACTAATAACACCATCTATGGTGTAAAGAGTCCTCCATTCTGGCCCAGGAAAGGCCTGTGTGGTGATTAGATAAAGGGGCAGTGTGTCTGTGCTACCCACCAAACAGAGTGATTGATATGCATCCCCGTGCTTCCCAAACAACACAGACTCCTCACCCCTCCCCAGCCACAGACTCTCTGAGCTGAAAGGAAGGAGAGCTTCCAGATGCATACTGAGTGGGAGGGTGCTGGGCACATCCCCAATCCATCCCAGGGCATTGGCCAAAACCCTCACATCAGTCTCGGTGTAGGTAGCTATAATGATTTCACTTGATTAAACAATGCATATGCTTATAGGCAAGTGATGTTTCACCTTTGTTTGGAGAATTAACTTTTATAATAAACACAGTCTAAATGTGCTTGGAAGGAATAAAAATTAGCATAGAAGCCTAAGGGCATGGTGAAATTCTGATAACCTCTGTGACCATATACCATCCACACCTATGGCTTGACACTTTCTAATTTCCATGGACTCTGTGAGGTAGAAATTTAGGTGGACGACTATCCTTCATTTCTGTTGTTAGTATAGCCTAGAGTTCAGCCCTTTTTGCTTTGAAGCATGTCTGTGAACTTGCAAAGTACAGATACATTGCTTTCTCTCCCTCACTGGAGAATATTCTGTATTCCATGACATATTCTTTTACACACTCTGTAAGCATGTTCATTTATCCTTCCTCCTTAAGACCTGAATTCCACAAACATGGGACACTAAGCATTAAATTGGTCCTCAAGTCATCAAAAGAGTATTGGGGGTGAGGTTTTAATTATTTCTTCTAGGAAAGGTAGTAAGGTTTGTATTGAATCGTAGTAATAAGCAATTCATTTTATTCCCAATGCATCTCTGGGTGCAGAAATCTTCTACTTTCATGGAAATCATCTACTTTTAATATGTCCTTTAAATACTCAACTATTCTTTTTTATTAAAAGAGACAGTATTGATGCTTCCAGGAACCTCTTCATAGTACATATCCATTCACAATTCAACACAATTTTTTGACACTTATTGATCAAGTTTCCTATCTATGTAACATGCAGTTACATTGATTAATCTCTCCTTCCACCAGATGCTAGGATAGGATACAAGTTTAGCTACAAAGTTCCAAATTTACAGTACCTCAAATGAATCTCCCATGAAATAGCCCAGGGTAGGCAGCCCAGGGCTGATATGATAGTTCTACCCCATGAGGCTATCCAAGAATCCATCTGTCTGAGAACCATCATTCCTATGGTGTTATCTTTGTCTGCATGTCCAAGATGACTTTCTGTTGTGTCTGAATTCTAGCTACAGAAAATGAAGAAAGGATACAACCAGAAAGCGAACTCTTCAGCAAATGTGGTCTTTATTCAAAATGAACCTATGTCCAGTGAAAAATCAGGGGTTCTACTTCTATAAACAACACTGATATTGCTAAACTACTACAAAGTCTCCACAGTACCCAGGCCAAGACACATATACAGCTAGAAGAAAATGTCCTCCAAGCTACCCACATGTGTACCGCACATAAACACAAGTGCACTAGCAAACCCACGTATACCCTAGACCCACTTTCTCTCTCACGTTCAAGGTCCACCACAAAAAGCAAAATCCCTTCTATCAGGCAGTTGGGTACAGGGGGCCATGGGGTAGAAGAAAGAATGAAAAAGAATGGATGCCCAGCTAGTATTCATTAAGCAAACTGAAACAGAGATATTAATACCTGAATTTGACTTTTAAAAAAATCACTAGATTGGGCAGTGAACATCTGAAAAGATCTGGAAAAAAGTTTATCTGCTGTTAGTCAAAATGGGTTTCCTTAGGTTTAATTCTAGAAGGTAAAACTGATTCCATTCCTGAGTCCCTTAGCTGTCATCCTCATAACCATGGTGCATTGTATCCACCTGGCAACTGGAACTAAGCATCTGAGCCTCTCATTCATATCCCTTCAGAGGAGTCACAAACTAACCCTGTCATCCCTCCACTCTTTCTCCTCTCAAAATCTACTTATCCAGAGCCATTTCCTCTTGTCTCTGCTACATTTTGTTGTTACCTTTAGAATTCCTACTTCCTCTCTAATTTCTCTTTTTTTGGGTTCATCAGTGACCCTAATACTATTAATAACAGTGATTTTTTAAAAAGCATCCTGGGCAACTCTGAGTATCAACAGATAGTACTTCTTCTGTCCCAAGGGAAATGAAAGGCAAACTTTGAAGCAAAATTAGACATAATAAATGACTGGGTTTCTTAAATCTTCAAAGGTAAACATACCAAAAGGAACAACAAACCTTATCTGTAACCTCTAAACCCTCACACCTCTCTTGGGAAACTTTGTGTCTCAGTTACCTATTAACTTTTCTCCAAAAAAATCTTTTAAAAAGATCAACTTTTAACATAATACTTACACTTATAAAGATATCTATCTATCTATCTATCGATCTATCTAAATATACTTAATTTTTGCCTTATTCAAATGCACTGCTTTTCTGGTTGCAGCATTGTTTTGTACTATTTTTTAAATGTAATTGTACAGTATTTCAGGCACATTGAGTTGACTGGCCAGGGGCAAATATGTCGTTAATACAATGTTTTCATGGGAAAACTCAAACCAAGAAATGAAGTCATTTGTTGGACCGTATTCTGTTTGTCAGTTGAGGTTGCCTGTGTGGTCTAAACCTATTTCAAGAATTCAACATTACAGAAAGAGAAAGAGAACAGGTTTCTCAACTACACATATCAACTAACAGGATTTGGAATATCCATAATGTTGTTTTGCATAAGGACAAGGATATACAGATGTTAATCGCATCCTTGGCTTCAGTTCTGGCACCCACTCCTTCCTGAAAGGCCAGCCAATTCCTCAATGTATGGATGTGCCTTAGGGTGTAGTGGAGGTGGTAAGAGGCCCAAAGTCTAGGATGTGAAAGGGTCTTGGAACTAGAGTGGAAAACAGCAATTTATCCCTCATCAAAATTGTTGTGATTGTTCTAAGAAAATATGCAATTTTGTCCTTAATTCCAAGTTACCCCAGAAATAATTTTCAGAAAGCACTATTTCCAAGCCAAATAGAAGTGTGTTCGTATGCAGAGACAACAGTTGGTAGGGGAATGGGTAGAAACATAAAGTATGAAATATGGGTGAGGTATGTGCATATGTTAGGCGTGTTATCTGTAGGACCCGGAAGAATGCCAAGGAGATCAGAGCAAGACTCAAAAACATGGGCATAAAAATTCCAAAGTCATTGTTGCCTGAACTGAAGAGATTGTATTCAGGCAAAATTCAGTGTTGTATCTGTCTCCCAAAAAGGGGAGATTTGAAAGTGCGGAAGACTCCCATGAACACAGTAACAATTTAATGCAAGTTGGGAATGGGATGCTAATGACAACTGTTGCTCCAAGTTTGTCCCTTAAAAAGCTGGGTGGAACTTTTGTAATCCTCTGCTAGACCATAAATTTCAATCAACCAGGCAGGTGTGGTAGTGCGCTCCTGTCATCGCAGCTATGCGGGAGGCCATAGGCAGGAGGATTTCAGTCCAAGATCAGCCTAGGAAAAAGTGGGACATCCTACCTGAAAAATGACTAAAAAAGAAGAAAAAAGGGTGTGTGGGGAGGGAGGGGGAGCTGGGGACATGATTCAAGAAATAGAGCGTCTGCCTAGCAAGCACAAGGCTCTGAGTTCAAAACCCTAGTACCACTAAAAAAAGGGAAAAAAAAATAAGTTCGGAAATAATTTTCTCATAAAAGATTATAAATAGTCAGGTGTGATGGCACATACCTGTAATTCCAGCTCCAGGAAAGCTGAGGCAGGAGGGTCACAAGTT